ATGTGAAAGGAGAACTCCACTCAGTCCCAGTCACACAGCTTACATGATGAAATGTGCTGCTTGCTGCAAGTGTCCCATGAAACAAAGTTTACTCTGAAACTGTACAGCTTTGTCAATAGTTGTCATTTTGGCATCTCCTGTTGATGGGAGCCAGCTTACTAAACAGTGATGCTGTCCAGGTGAGACCAGAAGTTTAACAGTCCAGAACAGTGAAACAAGATGCTTTAAAGTTAGTTTAACAATCAGAGAAAAGGTGATGATTAACAAAGATGGCCAGAAAATTGGCAGTTTACCTGCAGGAATTTTTGCAGGGACAATCCCCTTTTGAAATTTTCCCATCTTCGTAAAAAAACTTTTCTCCCACTTTTTTACTTTACTCCCCCCCCACACATTTTTTCCAGGTTGGGGGGGGGGATTAAATTGGCAGAAAATAGGATTTTCTCCACTTTCTTACTCATTGACTATTTCCCAGCCGAAAAAGTCAGTGTTACTTTGTGCCTAAATGAAAGTATTTTATATATACACTGTTAATTTCTTTTCTTTTCTTTTCTCTTTTTTTTTTTTTTTTATTCTTTCCCCCCTTTTCTAGGGGATTTTATTTTTGTCAAGCAAGGGTTTTTTTTGAGAGGGGGGGAAAAACATCTTTTTTTTTGACACAGCTCCTTTTTTGGGACAAACTTCTTTTCTGAAAAGCTTTTAAACATGAGAACTGGTCAAAACATTAAACGTGACTTTTACTGAGGCCTGTTCCTTTCTCTTCCCTGAAAATAGGGTAATATGTGTAAGCAGAGTCAGGATGACCTCTACCCTGACATCTGGTGGTGAATTGTGGCGAGTTGTGGAAAAGAACTTCAGGGGCTGATCGTGTTTGCATAGGCACACCCACCCCACCTAGCATGAGCCCACAGCAGCCCAAATGGTCACTTTGGCTGCTGTGGGATCCCCAGTTTCTCTGTTATTGGGGCAGGAAGAATAAAGTGGTGTTACCCTGATTATGTGAATCAAGGACAATGGAACTGTTTTATGACAGAGGGACTCGCCATCAACTAAGTAGCATTCGCTAGACAAGGGACATAGGTTCCAAAACCCAGTGAATTGAGAGAGGCTGAAATACCAATTGCACCTTCTCCACTGTGGAATATCAGAGCTAATTTTGATTCTATTAGAAGTCTAGTTACAGGCTACTGAGCTGAATTCACTTTGGGCCAATGGTGCACCAGCATTGAGGTTCCCCGACTACAAGCTGAAATCACTTAAGAGCTGAAATCACTGAGTGCGTGGGGGAGGGGCTGAAGATATGTTGCTGAGCGGCTGGTGGAGCAGAGCAGTTCACAGGACGGCTGGAGTGGCTCACGGGACAGCTGGTGGAGTGGAGCGGCTGGTGGAGCAGAGCAGTTCGTGGAATGGCTGGAATGGCTCATGGGACCGCTGGTGGAGCGGAGCGGCTGGCAGAGTGGCTTGCAGTGAAGGCTGCAGCAAAACCACACAGAGAGGCAGGGCAGTTGGCCTTGGACCACATAAGGTGCCCCTTAACACCCCCGTTCCCGCCCCCTCCCCCCCCCCCAAGCTGGGGGGTAAAACTCTGCAGATAAACTTTTGAACTCTGGGGCTGCACTGACCAGGGACAGAGACTTTTGGATTGTTGGACTTTTGGGTGATTTTTGGGTTGCTGGACTTAGACCCTGACGGGAAAAGGACACTGCCAAACTTACTTGAGGGGTGGGTCTTTTGCTATGAATCCTGTTTGTGGTGTATCCCCAACATAACGCCGCATTGTTTCCCTCCTTTATTAAAAGGATTTTGCTACACTCAGACTCTGTGCTTGCGAGAGGGGAAGTATTGCCTCTTAGAGGTGCCCGGGGGGGTGGTATGTAATTGTGCCAGGTCACTGGGTGGGGGCTTGAGCTGGTTTTGCATTGTGTTATTGAAACGGAACCCCTAGATAGTGAACCCAGCACTTGTTGCTGCCAACTCAGACAGGCAAAAGGGTTACATATGCAGTTTCACAACCAAATGTGAAATATCCCTTTTGCTGAATGTTTGGTTTGCTGTGAAAGCTCTGCACAGCTCTAGTGAGACTCTGTCTCCAGCCCAATGCAGCACCTGGAATTTAACCTTTCGGCCACTCACCAGGTGTGAGTGATTCCTAGAAACTGCCTGTGCTCAGGGGGCTAGGATGTTTTGATTGGTTCCTCAGTGTTCTATTTCTGACACATGCTACCAAGGTTGATGGGGTGAACTGCATAGTTACATATATTTTTGTAAGCAATTATCAGCCAAGCCCTTCACTTTAAAGAAGGGAAGATAAATCATGAGACCATTGCAATTGCCTTTCCACCTACAGAGCTATCCCAAATTAGCACCCAGTGCCCAGATACTGTAGTGATGGGTAGATTATAAATACCTACATACATAACTCCTTCAGTCTATAATTTATTTCACTTAATCAAGGAATGACTGGTGGAGGTGGCAAAGTATAAAATGCTTTTATGGGATGGCAAGAAGAGCCCGAGAATAGCAGTCATCACAAAACTGGTAATGACCTCATGATCAGAGATGCAGGTAATACCTTGCCCACAGCAAGAGAAGCTGCAGACAACGTGGTAACCAGGAGGGGTGCTCCAATGCTTGGTGAAACCCTCTGAGCCCTAAGAAGAATGTGGGCTTAACTGAATACCTGTGTTACTTATTTACAGATCAGACAAGATCTTGAGGGAAACTTTTTTTTTTTTTAATTGAAATAATCTACAAAATGTCTGCCTGCATCAATTCTGGCTGAAAGACTTGCTATTAAAGGAGGCAAGTATCTAAAATCACTCATACTTTAGGTTTCATTTCAAGATGGTTACAACACAATTGTTTGACTAGCCACATTGCAGGTGTCAACTGGCATACAGTACAGGCCCTAGTTGTGGCCTATTGCTCTCCATGATTCTTGGGTTATAAAATTCAGATCTGGCCACACAAGGCTGTCCCTGGCATCAGCAACCTGTAAGGAGCACTTTATTGTTACTATTTATACTGTGGTAGCGCTTAGAAGCCCTGATCAGGGACAAGCAGAACAAAGATAATCCCTGCCCCACAGAGAAGTTGTCAGTCACTCATGCTCTGCCTTTCCACAGCCAGCCCTGGGAAACAGCCCATCACTGCATCTCTTTGGTTTCTATGTTAAAACAAAACTGTAAGCGCCCATTCAAGGCACTTCTAGACGTACTGTGTACCCAGGGCCGGCTCCAGGCACCAGCTTGGCAAGCAGGTGCTTGGGGCAGCCACTCCGGAGAGGGGCGGCAGGTCCAGCTACTTGGCAGCAATTCGGCGGACGGTCCCTCACTCCCGCTCGGAACGAAAGACCTTCCGCCGAATTGTCACTGCAGATCGCGATCGCAGATTTTTTTTTTTTTGGCTGCTTGGGGTGGCCAAAACCCTGGAGCCGGCCCTGTGTGTACCAGGTTTAGGAGCGGGGGGGAGGGGGTGAATTGTAGGGAAGCCTTCCTCGGAGGGGCAAGTGCAAGGGGTGACAAGTGAGGGGGAACGTGTGTGCAAGAGAGGATCCCCAAAAGGGCTGCACTACTTGGTTTCTCAGCACAAAACTGAATAAAATCTGCTATGGGTTTCTATGGACTGACTCTAGTTCATTAACATGCTACAGTCCTGTTGACTAAAATGCTGGAACAGTCCTTATAGATTTCTCTCTGGCTTTAAAATCCTCACGCCACACCCACAATGCCTCCTCACTTAAAAGATTTACCTGTTAATGGTGATTATTGTGCTTTAAATTGACTTTGATTCGATTTTAAAATCTGAAAATTTGGCAGTTAGTTCATTCTGTCCCTAGGAAGCAGTTTTTTCCCCAAGCAAATCCTTGAAGGTTTGTATTGCATCACTAAATACTGAAGGAGAATCTTATGGTCTCTATTGGGTAAATACTGTGGATTTTGGAAGTATTTCTAAATACTAGTCACCTGATAGAGTAGGAATGCTGTGGAGAAATTGATTTATAGTGTACAAAATAGCCAACTTTGCTTATGAGAACTTTGTACTCACACTTTATGAATGTGAGGAAGGGAAAAGGAACAAGGACAGACCCAATGATCTTGGAGATGCAGAGGCTGCAGGAGGGTTATCGGGATAATCAGGAAATCATAGGGGAGGGGCCTCTGAAAGGGGTCAGGAGAAGATAATGTAGGTTGGGAGATGGGATGGGCGGAAATTAAATCAGATAACATATAGGCCAATTACGTGTAAGGCTACCAAGAGATTGTCAGCTCCCTGATGAGCTCACAACAGGCCAGTCTGTGTAATACAGCTCCAGTGAAAGCCTTTACTTAGCTTATTTTTAAACATGACAAATCATATTAAGGTTATGACACAATCCATCAAAAAAGGCAACGTCCAGCAAAGATCAAGATCAGGGTCTATCCTTATCTCTTTGCCTTTGGATTCCACACAAGGCTGGAGCAATAAAGGACTTGGGGTTTAATAGCAGGAGGAGTTGGTGGTGGGGTGGAAAGGCTTACGTTTTCTTCTTTAGCTCAATGCATGTCACAATCCTTTTAATGTTCTTTAAAGCAGTGTTTCGTCTTTGATTTGCCCTAGTCGCTCTGATGATAAAATAGGTGGAGAATCCTTACCCGTTTCTCCCATTCATGCATTTGGGGTTGGGGAGGGGGACTACATGAACTTCTGTCTCGTGTCATATAGCCAAGACCCTGCTATGTCTTCATCCTGAGCACAGCATACCTACACCACCATCCCCATATTCCACACCTCTGTCAAAGATGCCTATGCTACTTATGCAGATAAAGAAAGAGATAATTGGTAGAGAATGACTGTTAGCACAAGTGTCTCCAAGCCTATCTAGCAGGAGGTGATAGACTTACTGAGGGACATTTCTCATTTTCCATTTTTGTAAGCAATTTTTTTTTTTTTTTTTTTTTTTAGAAATTTTTTTTTTTTTTTTGGTGCAGAGAAATTTGTTTTGTTTTTTTCCCATACTTGTCATAACTTTGAGGCGCTGATGGAATGTGTTCAATGTAATGTTGATGGAACAGTCAAAGGGATAAAAGCCCTTGTAAGAGGGAAACACCTGCAGTGTCTCTGGGAAAACTCCAGTGTGGGGTGAGAGAGGCCTAAAGGAAAAAGGCATGGACAATTTGTTAGCCCCAAGTGATAATCTTAGAAGACAATGATATGGGCTCCTCTTGGTGAGCCCTGGCTGACCATGTGTACCATTTTAGAGAATAAGGTATTTTTAAGGTCTTAAAGTAGATGCATCTTTTCGTCAAAGCTTTTCGAGATAAGACCCTGGTACAAATCCTTGTTGACCATTCCTTTCTGCTGTCCACCAGCCATCCTCGCCTTCTGCGATGATTGCTATGATGTCTCCTGCACTGATGTCCAGTTCATCGGTGCTCTGAAAGGAGAGACCCAACAGAGGGAGTGGAAATCTGGTTAGCCTCAGTACTCATACTCTTCTGCATGTTTTGTGGGGGGGATTTTCCTAGCTCCCATGGTCCTAAAGCATATCCTACGCATCACACTGTGATAATGAATCTGAAATATCAGACTCACACTCAGTGTGTGGCTCCATTTTTACTGAGCTTGTCATATTGGGGCTATCAACTTTCTTCCCATCTCCTCAAGATCTCCGGAGTGGAACAGAAATGTACCCATCCTGCATTCACTCCCTGTGCAGATTAGATCTTGTATCATAGGAACATCCTCTGCCAGAAGAGACTAAGGCCAGGTCTATGCTATAAACTTACACAGGTATAATTATGCCACTTGGGGGGTGTGAAAAATCCACACCCCTGAGCAATATAGTTATACCGACATAACCCTTGGTGTAGACAGCGCTATGTCGACGTGAGAGCGTCTCCCAGTGACGTAGCTAATGCCTCTCGTGGAGGTGGATTAACTATGCTGATGAGCAGTGCTTAATTTGTAGTGAAAGAGGTACCAGGGTTTAAGCAATTTTTTACATTCATAACTGACGTGGAAAGGCTAGAGGTGCCAGGGCTCTGAACTGCCAAGCCTAGAGGTGCCGGGGCTCTGAACCGCCAAGCCTAGAGGTGCTGGGCTCAGCCCTGGCACAAATTAAGCACTACTGATGGGAGAAGCTCTCCCATCAGCACAGCAGCATCTTCAGTAAAGCACTACAGCGTCACAGCTGCATGGGTGCAGCTTTTGAAGTGAAGACCTGTCCTAAATGCAACTCCCTCCTGAACCAGCCAGTCATGCTCCTTCGTTAGAGCAATACAAGGCTACATGCTCAAAGGAGATAAAAATGATGCCTCCAATAATCTCAGTCTGGGGGAGATTTCTCATCAGGACAATTGATCTCTGGTTACCTGCATGGTAGAATAGATCTCTGCTGCTGAGCAATAGTGGTCAACAGTGGTATAATGATTATTCATGAAACATGCTATTTTCCCCCCCCCCAGGAAATAGCCAGACTGACTTGTAGTGATTCTATCAGCCCATTAAGTGATGCTGTCCTGTTTTCTGTGGGATGGGGCATCAATTCACTGTCCAAAGAGCAATGAAATTAAAACAGTGATAGCACAAGCTCTAAAATTTTTGCATTCAACAGATCAGATCAATCTAATTGGAATATAATGCTCAAGTGTGTGGAAGTCTACCCCCAGGTTAGGAATAGTCCATCTTCATGAAAGGAATTCAATAATTCCCCTTAAGGCAAAATGCCATGAATGCTGAGGTACATTAAAATGACCCTGAACAGGCCCTAAAGCAAATATCTCTCCAACCAATGAATGAGAGTAGAAAAAACATTTGAACACCCTGAACTACATAGGAAATTCTCTTCAGCTGCACTGACATAATCCAACTTTTGTTTGGCTTCAGTTAGAAGAGGGGTAGTCAATTATTTTTTGTCAAGGTCCAAATGTCTTGGTCAAGGAATAGTCAAGGTCCAGGCTCCAGATAAAAATGATGATGATAAATAAATTTTTAAAAAAAGACTTTGGGGTCTGTTCAAAAGCATCTGGTGGTCTGGATTTGGCCTGCGGGCTGCCTATTGACTACCCCAAGTTAGGATCTGACTCATGTTGACCTCTTACAAAGAGTCTCCTAAGTGATGTGTTTTCAATGTGGGTCTCATAACACACGAACAAGGGCACTTTCTATGGAGCTGAAAGGGGGCCAATTCAAAACTAATAAAAGGAAATCTTTTCCCAAACAACACATCATTTGACTGTGGAACTCTTTGCCAGAGGATGTTGTTGAAGCCAAGAATGAGCACAATTCAAAGAGAGATTGGCCATTTGTATGGATAGCAAAAGTATCCATAGTTCATGCTAAGGAAAAGAATATTGGAAGGGAGGTAAAACCCCATGTTTCAGGGTGTAAACCAATCTCTTGCTATTGGGGATTAGGATGAGATCATGGGGGCAGATTATCCCACATCTGCTTACTGTGGGGCTTCTTGCACCATACTTTGGAACATCAGGCCATTGTCAGAGGCAGGATAGTAGACTAGATGGACCTGGCCAGTAGAATGACTCCTATACTTCTATGTGTCCTGTGTAGGAGCATTAAGGGCAATCATAACGCTAACGGCTCTTGGGCTGCTTTGGCATTCTAATTTATAAACATCATCCTCACTTTACCTCCTTTGAAAAACAGTCTAAAATCTACAGATGAAAAGGTGCGTGGTGTTAGTAAACTCTTGCTTTAGCAAGTCAGCTTGTCCCTGTTGTGACTTTACTCATGATGTCTAACGGAATTAGGTCTGAAGTCAGGAACATTACAGTACCCTAGTTGAGGACGCTGGTTGCTCATCAGCAGTGTCTTCAGATTAGTGAGCATGTCAGGCCAAGCTCCTTCCATTTGCCCAAGGGGCCTGTGCTGGGACTGGCACTTGGCAGGAGCAATCAACAGGGCACAGTGTATTTCCAGGGGACAAATGTGAGGGAGGGCTGTGCCGTCTGACTCCAACATCAGAATGTCAGTGTGTGTGGTGTATCGGTAGCTTTTTCATTAATATAGTCCCTCCTCCTGCATCTGTTTAATGGAGCTGGAATAATACAAGCTCATAGTATTTCCACCATGCAAGAACTGGAGTAGCATGACAAAGCCAGATCTTGTGGTGTTGTTTCAGCTCCATTTAAAAAGTGCCTCAGGGGTTATTTAAGTAGAAAATGGATACAAATATTTATATTGCAAATCCCCCACAAAACCATAACTAAACTGAGGCAAAGGCAGAAGACAGGCTGGGAGTCTGTATCTGGCAATAGTTATGAACAGGAAATCAGTATGACTTGTTCTAAAATCCTTTTGTGCAGTGGAGATTGTGTTGGAAGTCTGCCCCTGCTATGGAATACAGACAACACATCAATCTGGTCTTGGGGTAGGATTCTCCAGATGAGGATGGGGTCAAATGGAGAACAGCTTTTAGATAATATTTGACAGACTCTCACTCCTCTTTTCTAGGCTGAATAAAAGCCAGGGAGGATTTTATAACATGAGCTGCAACCGTATTCCCTTGGGCTGTAGTCTCAAAAATTTCACAAGTGAAGTAGATTCAGAATGAGTCATTACTTGGATGGGAGATCACAAAGGAAAACCCAGGTGCTGTACAAAGTGGAGGTGCCATTCCCTGCTGACCTGCTCTAGATTCAGTGTCTCAGTATGGTGTCTGAGGGCACTGTTTTCCAATGAGCTGTAAAACAGGGTCCTGACCATTTTGTCAGTAAAGATCCTATTGTCCTCTTCAGCAAAAACAGTAAGAGGGGACTCGTCTTGCTATGCTGCCAAGATTCCAGTTGGAGTACATGCATTCTTCTACCCTAAACTCCCTCTGCATTTGTAACTGGATACAGTAGTCATCATTTCCTGCCCTAAGTTGCTATCCAAATGTTCTGGATTCCAATCCTACATCAAGATCCGCTAGTGTGTACCTCTGTAGAGACCCATTGATTCATGGGAGTAGGGGTTGAACTAGCAAATCCTGATGCTGAATCAGGACCTTAACTAACTTCTCTTACATTTTTATTGGGACTATTTTTATACATCTTCCTGTAAAGCCAGGTGATTTAGTTACCATTAGCCAAAATGTACAAAGCTTCTGTGTTGAATGAGTCTCTTCTATCCCTAAAGAGACAAGGGTTGGGATGGTTTGGCACCGTTATTGATGAAACACATTAATGTGCAGCAAATTGAAATAAACTTTTATATACTGTTATCTTGGGGGCAGTATGGTCTAGTGGCCAGAGCAGAGACCTGGGAGTCACAACTCCTGGCTGCCACAGACTTGCTAGGTGAACTTAGCTAAGTAACTCTCTGTTCCATCTGTTTCCGCATCTATAAAATGAGGATAATGCATAACCCCTAGGGGTGTTGAGAATTAATGGGCTCTTTGAGTCAAAGGTACTATTTTAAGCCTAGTGCATTACGACATTCGTTTTTTAATCCTTTGACTACCTGGGCTGTGTAGTCGTAGAGCACTCTGTAGTCCTGTGATGGTGTGGTCGCTGCTTGTTCACCCACATTAATAGCTGCGTAGACTCCATCCACTTTCTCGTCTAGAAAAACAGTGAAACAAAGAGTTCAGCCACTTATAAATGCAAGGAATCATTTGCAAGAGTTCACAAACACAAGGGTATCTACTCTTCTCTCTGTGCACTGGGATGTGTGTGCCTACAGAAACTGCTATGGACTCCAGGTAAAGCTATGCACAACAACTGCCACTGTCTAGAGGAGTCAGAAACTAGCTTTCACTCCATTACATGGTAAGACTGCAGGGTAAATGTTTTTCCTGCTTAAAATATAGTCCCAAATGGTCTAACAAATAATTATAATAAAACTGGTTTGTGGTGGGATCTGTGATTTTTCTGAGGGGAAAAATAAAATTATCTAAAATATAATGCAGTGCAAGAAAAGTTCAGTGAGCCTTAGTAGTAATTTAGATGGTGCCATGATGGAATATGTTACTGGTTTGACCTTTCTGAAACATGTTGATTATTTAATCCAACCTGTCATAACTGAGAAGAGGAAAACATTCATTCAGTGTTATTGCAAGAACAGATATAAATGCCTCGGTGAAATAGTGATAATTAGGCCTTGTCCACACTGTGTTTTGGTAGTATAGTTAATCTAGAAAGCCCTCCCAGTGTGGAGATAATTATGTTGCTATAACTGTGTCTACACTAGTGCTTATACTGGCATAACTATGTTGGTAAAAAAATCACACCCTTATCTGCTACAGCTATACCAGTATACCGTAGCTATACCAGTATAATTTTTAAGTGTAGACCTGACCTAAGGATTGTTCAAAAAGAGTTTGATCCTGCATCTCTGTAGCCAATGAGAGTTTTGCCATCAGTCCAAAACCCCTACCAAGGCACTTCTTCAAAAGCATTTAGCACTGACCTAATTCTGCTCTCATGGAAGTCAATCCCCTTGCTTCATAATAAATAATGGCCATTAAGGCAAAAGAAAGCTGCAGTGTATTAAACAGGCAAATGTCACACTATTGTTTGTACTGTCAGATTTTTATCTCAACACTATGACTTTAGGTGTTTGCACTTAGCCAGAATTTGGAATGTAATTAAGTCCTGGCTGGTTAAAAGGAACTTATTACAGCATTCCTCCACAATGCTATACCTGCCGGGTCTGTCCTCCTGCTGAGGCATAAGGGAATTTCCCATGTAAACTGTCTGTACATCCCTGGGATAATAGAGCCCTTGCAGAGGGCTGAGAAGATAGGATCCTTGTAAACCTTCCCACAGTAAATCCTGATCCCATTCCAAGAAGTGGCTTGGATTCTTCAGATGACTGAAAGAACAATGTAGCAGGAAGTGAAGAAGCTGAATGCAGGTAGATAACCACGATATGCACAAACCTCTGAAGGCCTTGTCTTCATTAGGAACAAAGTTGTATTCTTAACTTGAGTTAACTAACGAAGTAAAATCTTAGTGAAGAGCAGGCAGTCTGTAATTTTCACATGAGTTGTAAATCAAGGTAAACCCTAGGCTCCCGCAGAGTTGTTATCTCAGCCTGCTAACTCATGTGAAAACTACAAATTGCCTTGTCCTTGGTAGGATTTTACCTCATGTTAATTACCACATGTTCACTAATGTGGGCTAAGAATTCATGGTTTTTTCCTAGTGAAGACACACCCAGAGTCTCAGGCACACCTGGGCAAACTGCAAGAAGAATGTAGGTACCAAAATCCCATTAGATTACCATGCATATTCTCTCTAAATTTAGGGGCATGCTCCTGCTCCCATAGAAGTCCATGCCAAAACTCCCATTGATTGCAGTGGATGCAGGACCTGGCCTCAGCTCACTAAATGAGACCCATTCTGTCAATGGATATGAGTACTGGGTTCCCACAGGCGCCCTGCGTGAGCCCATCTGTGCATAGTATTTGGTCCCAAGAGTAGCATCTCATTTTACAACGAGCCTGCTCTGATCCTTCAACAAAGTCACAATCCACCCTTTGTGACATCAGAATTTACTATCGTGGAAGCAATTATGATAATTATTATCCGATAGTGGCCTTTATAAATAGCATGATCTAAACTGGCAGAAAGGAGAAGTTAATATAATGTAGACCGGTTTCAGTGGTAGCTGTGTTAGTCTGTATCAGCAAAAAAAACGAGGAGTCCTTGTGGCATCTCTAAGGTGCCACAAGGACTCCTCCGTTTTTTTGCTAATCTAATGTAGACGCACAAACAGCTGTGAGCAGATCGGGGAGGCATTAAATGTGACAGATGCTGTTCATATGTTACTGTATAGACATGTGGGACCCAATCCTGGGAGGCACTGAATGCCTTCAACTCTCATTCAGGTTGTATTCACAGGGACACCATTGAATTCTATAGAAATGGATGGCACTTGGGCTCAGACTTTTAAAGGAGCCTAAGTCTCATTGCAAGTCAGTGGGACTTAGACTCCTAAATGCCTATTTCATTCTCAGAAATGAGACTGAGGCTCCTAAATCAGTTAGACATTGTAACTCTGAGCAGAGCAACATCTATGTACCTTTAAAAACCCAGACCTTGCAGATCTAGCCTGCATGAATGGCACTGAAAATTCCCACTCTTCGGGGGAGTCAAACAAGGGATTTAGGAGAGACTGTATTCCATTTCTGGGTGGCTGCGTGCAGAGGCAGATGTAGTGAAGGAAACTGGTTCCAACAGCATTTTTTTTTTTCATTAGGGGACAATCACAGTTTAAATCTCCTTAGCTGGTTTTAAATCGAGCCAATAAAAATGTCACAAACCATTATTTCCTGTGCTGTCAAAATATTATGCTTTGGTGCCCTCTAATGAGTGATACAAGTGACGTGCAGGGCCATCCTTAGGCATACCGCATACGCGGCTGCGTAGGACACCTGAAAATTTGGGGCAACCCTGGGTCTTAGTGTCCACCCTTCCACCTCTTCCTATCCCTATTCTGACCTTTCCTGCAGGCTCCCACCACAGCAATCTGTGGCAGCCTGGTGAGTCTTCCTCCAGAGGAATTTGTTAGTCTCGAAGGCCTGGTCTACACTGGCGGGGGGATCGATCTAAGATGCACAACTTCAGCTACGAGACTAGCGTAGCTGAAGTTGACGTATCTTCGATCGACTTAGAATCACTTACTTCGCGTCGTCGCGGCGTGGGATCGATGACCACCGCTCCCCCGTTGACTTTGCTTCCGCCTCTTGCCGAGCTGGAGTTCAGCAGTCGACGGGAGAGCGATCAGGGATCGATTTATCGCGTCTACACTACAGGCAATAAATCAATCCCCGATAGATCGATCACTACCCGCCGATCCGGCGGGTAGTGTAGACCTATCCTAAGGTGCCACAAGTACTCCTGTTCTTTTTGCGGATACAGACTAACACAGCTGCTACTCTGATTCCTCTAGAGGGAATCTAGTACTTAAAAGTGAAAATGCCTGCCAGACCTATTAGCACAACACTGAAACTGTTAAAGAGGCATTCAAGTAGTAATGAAGTCATTTAACAGGCATTTGCCAACCCCCAGGTATACAGTCAGTTTCTGAATTTACTGACAAAAATAGTTGTGCATTACTGTAATGTTTACTCAGAACGTGTTTGTCTACAGGACCTTGGTTTAAAATTTGCTTTAAAAAGATTTCATTAGTGTGTTGCTAAAAATTATAAAATTACATCTCTTAAAAAAATTCTTGCTTAGATTTTTTTTTTTTTTTAGATGCACAATCTAAGTATTCATCTTTTTAGCCTTAAATGCTTGGATCTTCAGACATATAGTTTTTTTTTTTTAAATAAATCCTTCAAATGACTACCTTTATCTAAAATACACATCCGAGCCCGGGCTGCTGTTGGGCATAAGGGCACCAGTTTAATAATACTGCATAGGGCCCCATAAATCCTAAGGATGTTCACAGGGACACCAGGCTGGGCCACAGGAAGGCGTGGGAAGGTTTCCCCATGCTCTACGTAAGTAGAGGAAAAAACTGTGTTCCTAGACCTTGAGGTCTCAGTCAGAATTTAAACTTCACACATCCAGAGGAATAGTACAGCTCATACTAGTCTCCATGGTGGGGGAAGCTGCTTGCTACATGTTTGTGCTGTACTGATGTCTAGATTATAGTCTCAAGCTAGCTCATAGGATAGATAACATGTTAATGTTTTATCACATAGTTTATTCTCCATGCAACAAGCATGTAAATGATTTGATTCATAGGACCAGATACATCTTTTGATTTACATCTGGTAAAACATACCTATAGGAGGGGCTGTGGGAATGATGGTTTCACTGGAGTTTCTGCTATTTCCATGTAACAATCCGGAGAATCTGTGGAACCAAAAGAAGCCGGTGATAGAATGTACAGAATATGTTGTATATTCCTGAAACTTCCAGAGCGCTAGTCCACTGCCATGTAATCTTCCTCATTCCTCCCATTTGTCACCAACACTTTTGGCCAAATGTTTCCTCTTTGGAAACTTTTGTTTTGTTTTGCACTAGAGCAACAGACACACTTATTTTCATTTTAAACAAAGCCTAGTAAACTAGCAAATCTTTTGAAGTTTGCCAATCACTAAACTGTACACAAAATAAAGTATATTTTTATATTATACATTTATATTTTTGTGATAGTTTTATCTTATGGACAATTCAAGATCTAAAGACATATGAAGCAAAGCTTAAACCATCCCATCGTGACAACATGATGGATCTGTTGACTGGTCAATTGCAAGGGGTGACATCCTTTTTTCCCCCCCCCCTTTCCTTTTCTCCTCATGATAATGCACTTGAACATAGAAAAAATGCTGGCTTTTGGAATGTTGTAGACTATAATACACTTGTCTAAAAACTGTCAGTTTTAAAATATAGCAAACTATTTATATTTTTCTCCCTGGATGTTTCCCCAACCAGCATAAACTGTACTGGTATAAACAATCTTCTACTAATATAATTGGGTCCACATTAGGGCTTTCATCGGTATAAATATTCCTGTATAAATCTGATCCCTAACCAACAAGTCTATACCACTGAAACTTTTAAACGCAGGCCAGGCTTAAAGCTATTTGCTAATCTGTGGCATGGTAGTGCACTATGGTTTAGCACAGAAGGTATGGCTGGAAAAGACAACTGTCTGTCCCCCTCTCACCACTTAAGTCGTTTTTGTCACTATATGTCCCAGTCCTATCACAAAGCAGAATTAAGTGTGCCCCAATTACTTGCTGGCTGGTCAGTTTCTTTTAAAGTTCTCCCTTCCCGCCAGCAACAATGTGAATAGCTAATCTTGCTTTACTTTAAATTCTGCTAAATTAATTATTGGTGTATGTATATGATATGCATGCATATCACATCTGCCTTTCACCATGATTATGGAAGCAATGACTTTCAAGATCTATATTTGTCACTTGCATGTATGTAACCATATATTGCTTCCTACACAGAAAAGCATTTCCATAAGGAACCAATATACTCACCTTTTCATCATCCCACAAGACTGGACTGGGCTGTTGCTACATCTAGGAGATTCTCTGGCATAATAATTCTCATATCCTATTGGAACTACAATGGGATAATTGTTAAAAACAAGGGTGTAAACAGGCAGAAGGTATCCATTTCCCCCCTCTACCAGCAATGCAATTGATTTGTTTCCATAGCATGGTGGTTAGTCTTCTAATCTAGAGCAGGAGTGGCCAATGGAATTCTGCAGTGTAACCACGCTCCTCTTTAATACATAAGTGCAGCCCACGCAGACCTCTGAGCTCATCTACGCTAGGAAAACTACTGATGACAGATGTCAGTAATGGGTACTGCTGAGCTGATGCTTAATACAGTTCTGCTGCAAGTATAGCACAGCTGCAGCACCATTTCAATAGCTATGGTCAAATTCTAATCAGGAAGGCTGCTGCCTCAATAATAGGACTTCTGCCATCTTTGTCATCCCATTTTTGTTTAGGAGCAAAAGCTAATCACCCTGCAGCTCTCAGCTACTAACTGAGGATGATGACTGTCAGCTCTTCTGGATTTTTTTAAATGTATAGACAGAGATTCAGGAATTCCAGCCACATCTGGGGAATTTTTTGGCCCTGTTGTCAGATGCTGTAAAGTAGGTATTTCCTGGTATCCATGTGTAGATAAATATCAGCCTACCTCTCTCGTCCCCAAAGAGAGAGAGAGAGAGAGAGAGAATTTGCTATCCACCATGGGGCTAGTCAGGGCTAGTCGACTTCACACCCACAACTCACATCCGAGTTAGTTTTGAAGAGAGAACGTTTCTTTTTAACAGCGAAGTCCTCATCTGTGGTTCTCTTATATAACAGAATGCATGTGGTCGCCTGTGTATCTTGTACTTTAAAATACTACAGCTTGCAGGCCAGAAACTAGCCACAAGCTATGCTGAGAAGTAATGAGCCGCAACTGAGGGTGAAGAGTAGCATTCATACTGAGAAACTGCTGACGTGTAAAAGTAAAGAAACATGCCTCTGTGCCTCTCTCTGTCTCTTTTCTTCTCTATAATGTTTAAAGGAGGTCTGAATGCTTTTTTTTCCTGTTTATTTTAGAAATATAGGTTTCATCTATACCAAGGGTGGACAAACTATGGCCCGCGGGGCACATCCAGCCCTCCAGCCAGTTTAATCCAGCCCTCGAGCTCCTGCTGGGGAGCAGGGTCTGGGGCTTGCTCTGCTCCCACGCTCCAGCAGGGGAGTGGGGTCGGAGGCCGCTCTGCGTGCGCGCGCACGCGGCGAGGCTCCTAGAAGCAGCAGCATGTCCCCCTTCTGGCTCCTACGCTTAGGGGCAGCCAGGGGACTGCGTGGGCTGCCTCTGCCCCAAGCGCCACCCCCACAGCTCCCATTGGCTTGGAACTGCAGCCAGGGCTGGCTCCAGGGTTTTTGCCGCCCCAAGCGGCGCAAAAAAAAAAAAGCCGCGATCTGCGGCGGCAATTCAGCGAGAAGTCCTTCGCTCCGAGCGGGAGTGAGGGACCGTCTGCCGAATTGCCGCCGAATAGCTGGACGTGGCCAGCTGGTGTCTGGAGCCAGCCCTGACTGCAGCTAATGGGAGCTGCAGGGCCGAGGCCTGCGGACGGGGCAGTGTGCAGAACAGCCTGGCCACGCCTCCGCATAGGAGCCGGAGGTGGGACATGCCACTGCTTCAGATAAGCACCGCCTGGAGCCTGCACCCCTGACCTACCTCCCGTGCCCCAACCCCCTGTCCCAGCCCTGATCCCCCTCCCACTCTCCAAACCCCTAGGTCCCAGCCTGGAGCACCCTCCTACACCCAAATCTCTCATCCGCAGCCCCAGCCCCACCCCAGAGCCCGCACCTCCAGTCAGAGTCCTCCCCCTCACCCGCTCCTGCACCCCAACCCCAATTTTGTGATCATTCATGGCCCACCATACAATTTCCATACCCAGATGTGGCCCTCGGGCCAAAAGTTTGCCCACCCAATCTACACTGTTTTTCATAGAAGACTACTGACAGCTGGAGAACTGGAAAGCTTATTCATCAGAGATACTAACACCAGTCAAACCTAACTGAGAGGGGAAGCTTAATTTTACTCAGGGCTTGTCTAAACACAAAAGTTGTAACAGTTTAACCTATACCAGTGTAGATAAAGTGGTACAACACTTTGTGCCGAGTCTGTACAGTGCCTAGCACAATGGAATCCTGGTGCAGAACTAGAGTGTCTAGGTGCTATGATAGTGATAATAATAGTGTGGACACAGTTATAGCAGTGTAAATATACCACTATAGCTTGTTTCCATATGGGAAGAGGAATAAGCTACAGTAGAACTGCAGAGTTACGAACACCTTGGGAATTGAGGTTGTTTGTAACTCTGAACAAAAAGTTATGGTTGCTCTTTCAAAAGCTTATAACTGAATATTGACTTAATACAGTTTTGAAACTTTACTATGCAGAAGAAAAATGCTGCTTTCCCCTTTATTTATTTTATTTTATTTTTAGTAGGATTGTTCCATTTTACAACTGCT